AAAACCCACCCAAACCAACAACAGAACAAAACCGAAAACCGACCAGTTTTTCTGTCTTCTGGACAGTACCCAAAAGTCTAATCCCAACTGCAAGTGGTTTTTTTAATTATATGGCCTATAAATGCTTTCTGAGGTTCCTAGCCAAGAGCCATTAAATCCTTACTCTAATCTTAGGGCTAATGGCAACCCACAGCCATCTTTTCTCTCATCAACAATAAAAAAACCCCACAGGCAGGTATGGTGAAAGCAAAGCAGGATTTAAGAAGAAAGGCAAGAGCTCTCTCCTGCAATCTCAGTTCAAGCCCCCAGACAGGAACAAGAACAAATTACACAGCAGACACTGACATGTTCACTGCGGTACAGTTTTCCTTAGGCCAATGCGAAAGTTCTTGCCATTGGAATGTTGTATCTGTGATTTTGAGAGAGATCAACCGTTTAACAGTTGCTGAGGCCACTGACATGTCCACTTAAATGCTCCAAGAATATCTTGGGAGCAGGTTTCAAGTTCCAGAACACATGAGCAAACATGCAGCTTCAAACAGACTGTTTAAAAGAAAACTGCACTTCTGCTTGCTTGAAGACTATTAGGCAAGTTGTCCAGTGGAGGTCTGTGTTTCACCTGCAACAGCTGGCAAAATAGCCAACAGGCAAAACCATATAAACACATCTGCCTTTGGGGCATTCCCACTGTTCACTGCGTAACTGGCAGAGAAATTGAACTGTGAGCCACAGCACTCAAGATAATTTTTTCATATATTTTAGCATGCTGATAGCTTTTAAGTCAGTTCACATGCGGCACTGAACATAACCAGCTCAGACGATAGCAAGGAATATCATCTTTAACCATTTGAGAATTCAGTGACAGGCTTGATCATAAAAGACAGATTGATTCAAAAGCTTCGTTGCAGGGAGATAAAAATAATACTTTTACAAATAGTACTATTTATATGAAACTTTCCCAGGCAAGTTGCAAAACAGTCAATAACCAGCCGCGGAGCCAAACAACAGAACAAGAATAAACGCGTCACTAGCGACATCTCTGGCCCCTTTAACTGTCTGCAGGTGGTGCCATCCACTGCTACAGGAATTTGATACAAGCACATCTTTTCCACTTGGACTGGCCCAAAAAAGGCCCTTCACAACCCTGGCATTTCTCCACAAAACAGCTCTGCCTTTTCCTTGCTCCCAACCCTGTCTTCTCTTCTGCAATAAATCTCAGACCATCCAAATGGCTGTTTAGTGTCAAAAGCTTTGGTCTAAGCAGAAAGCGTTATTGGGTGTTGGTTAGGTACTAACCTATACAGTGAAAGACTTACTACAAAAACATCATCATGCAGCTGTGCATTCCTGTGCCTGTTCGGGTAAAGGTCAACTCCCAAGTGCTGCAATATTTCCAGGGCTGAGTCCTTTGCCTGGAAATGTGCTGTCACACAAAAGGCAGACACAAAAAGTATACAAAGTAAAGCTACAGTCATGGGAGTAAGATATACCTACGGTCATGTCTCCCCTCCCCAGAATGGACCAAAATTCACTTCTTCGCACACTCTTTGGCTTTAGCTCATATTTACCCAGCCAAGGAAAGTTACACACTAGTCTTTCAGAAACACAGCACCCACAGAGATACTCAAAAGAGAACATAGCCCCCTGCAGAGGGTTTCCAGCAAACCATGAATCATGGGACAAATGACATCTATTATGCCCCACTCACTCCCAGGCAACACTTGGCCAAATGCCACCCACTGCAGAAGCTGTCAGAGAGCTTGGTGCAGTTGTAATTTCCCTCAGACCCAGGCCTGTGGCTTGCAGTGAGCACAGGAGCCACCATCACACACTGGGATGAAACAAAGCAGTTTTCAGATCTTGTTTCAGGCCGTATCCCACTGCAGGGAGTTTTTTTCGTTCAGCTGAGAACAGAGCTTTGGTGGTATATGGGCAACTTTACATCTGCCTGAGCAGCTCATGATATTGATGGATGTGCACAGCCACTTTTCCTTCCACTCTCCCTAAATGGATATCTAACTTTAAAGTTTTCCCTGTGCTAGAAAGTAAGTTTCTGCACCCTTTCATTGGGTTGGAATTTATGGCACACAATAAAAACCAAAACAAAACGAACAAAAAAACACACACACACACACACACAAAAACCAAAACAAACAACCACCACACACACACAAAAATCAAAAACCAGTTTAGAATGAAAAGCAGCATCCTTACCACCACATGAGGTCTCAGTGGAGTTGTTTGGACACTGCAGCACTAGTCTGGACTCAATGACCTTAGTCCACAGTTCCCAAACCTTTCTCCCTGGGTTTGGCACTATTAAACACCCTTTCCACTTTTCAGTTCATCTAAATTTCAGCCAAAAGGAAGAGAGAGAAAACAAACAGAGCAACTGAGCACCTCCACTGCATGAGAGAAGACTCAGTAAACAGCTTTTCAAAAGCCAGTTTAGCAGAACCCTTACTGTGAAGGTACTGAGTTGTTGGATCTCACAAACCAAGGTGAAGTCTCCACTGGAACTTACAGAGATGGGCAGGTGCCTGTAGGATGTTGAAAATGTAGAACAACTCCAGGGGAAAAAGTAAATGATGCAGTCCATGAGGTATCTAAGCAAGGGACCTGAATGACGAGCTAGCTTTGCTGAAGTATTTTCTTAGGAACAAGCAAAATATTCATAATTTCAATGGAGTTTCAACCTTGGAAACTCAACATATAGCTGGCCATAACCCACAAAAGAGAAATCCAGTATCCCGAAAAAAAATATTGCTACAAGACAAAAAAATAAAGCTTGCTCTTTTATTTTTTAGAAAAGCAGAATAAAGTTCACAGAAGTTCAGTTTATTTAATTTTTTCAAAGAAAGAGTTTCATCTTTCAAAACAGACTGAGTTTTCTAAACAAACTGCAGTTGGAGTTTCAGTTGTTTCATTGCCCAGAAATCTTACTGCTTCAGTGCAATTCAGGCTGCATACAGAGAAGCTGGGCACTGCCAGCAAATGGCACATGGATCGCTGCTGACACATCACTATAAGATAAAGCATACTAGGAAAAAAAAAAAGTTTCAATTCAAATATTAATTATTCCCAAGGGCTTCACTGTATTCTCACCAATGAAGGCAGTTTGTTGGGTTTTACATATTGAGCTTTCTGTTTGTTAGCAGTTCAATAGCACTGTGTGAGTCACATGAATCATACACACTACTAGCATCTCTTTACTTCGGTTCTCCCAGGACTGTTTTTCTGAAACATAGTAAGGAATTGGCAGAGTGGCTGTGGATGCATGTTGTTTTAGAAATGCAAATACTTAAATTTCTCTAACCTGATGTTCAAAAAAAAACCCCAAAACAGATAGCAAGAACAACCTCATGCAAGTACCACAGCAATTTTATCAGGTTAAAGAAAACGATGCTGCCATCAACTTCAGCTTCTCTGTGCGTGTCATGCTTCATTTTCTAAATTTTTATCTCATGGACTGTATAATCAAAAGTTCTTTAAGTGTGAAACAAGAAGCAAAGTTGTCTGAAGAAAGCCACTCCTGTCTTTCTGTTCATACTTCTAATGAATTTTTACTTGGTATTGAATGAAAGCAAGCCTTTTAACAAGGCTCCTCAGTATTGAAGAGGCCCATATTACTCACACAGCAACAAAGGTCAAGAGCATCCTGGGCTGTATTAACAGGAGCAGAGCCAGTAGATCAAAGAAAATTATTATCCACATCTACTTGGTGCTTGTTAAACCGTATTTGGCATACTAAGTTTAGTTTTGGGCCCCCAATACAGAAAAGACAATATAAATGGAGGCGAATTCAGCAAAGGGCCACCAAGATGGTCAGGGCTGGAATACAAGCACTGTGAGCCAAGGCTGAGGGAAAGAATCCTGTTGAACCTGGAGAAGAAATGGCTTTGGGGGGACCTGACAGCAGCCCCTTGAGAAGATAGAGCCAGACTGTGCACAGCAGTGCATGGTGGGAGGATGAAAGACAACAGGCATCAGTTGGAACAGGAGAGGTTCAGACTGGCTATAAGCAAAACCTTTTTACCTTTAAGGACAGTGCGGCAGTGGAGCAGGTTGCCCAGAGAGGCTGTGCAGTCTCCAGTCTTGGGGAGTTTATGTGACTGGAAAAAGCCCTGAGCAACCTGGTCTGACCCCATAGCCAACCCTGCTTTGAGTAGGATGTAGGATAGGTTCCCAGGAATAAAATAGTTGTCCAGTCATCTGGCTTAGTTGGACACTGGTACCTGTGCCTCCTACAGCCACTCTCACCCCTCACTTTGACCACCCTGCTTTCTGTAACCCAGTGCAATGGCACTTTCAACCTCCACTAGCTGTGAAGTTTTCTTGGGTTACATCAGGTTGAAGAAAAAAGGTTACATTTACATCATGCTGTTAACAAGGCCATGCAAAACAGCATCCATATGGTAAAACTGTCGGTTTTCTCTTCAACCTTCAGATAAATAGCTACTGTTTTCGTAATGTTTTTTTAATAACGAGCCTGTACAGACAGAGTTCAGTTGTTAGAGCTGGTGCTCTCCACAGTGATGGTATGGATGTGTCCTAAAGCAAGGTGGCAGTAGAGAAAAACTAAAACCAGCCTTGAAATGAAGTCTCTGATTTTTAAACTGTATCAATGACCATAGCAGAAGCACTACTCATTAATGCAATTTTTTTCATTAACTACTTGATATTAACACAAATGTCATCTTTTCTGACTGAGAAACAGAAAAAAATATCACTGTTCGAATTACCTCACCCTGAAAGAGCATTAAGGCAGTGAAGATCTGCCATCCAGGATTCAAGGTGCAAGAATTCAAAAGACTGAGGATAGCACAGCTCTGCCTGTCTTCTTGATTTTTTTTTTCTCACTCAAAAGACAGAAGCAAGAGCTTCTTTCGCTGAAGATACTTAGCACTGAGAAATACAGAATACATATGAAGTTCTTCACAACTAATCTTGTTAGGTGTTATTTTTAGAAAAAATCAGAATAAATTCAACTGAATGGAGAATAGTATAAAAAATTATACACTTCTGTTCAGAGGTACTTGTTAACAGTGTGACTAGAGACTATTTGCTAAGACAGCGAAAAAATTTTCATGCACAAATGCTTTTGCAGATTGTATCTTCCAGGCAGTTAAATCTGAGCAGATCTGGTAAATATATCAGGATTTTGAAGAATGTTAGAGTACCTTGTACTTTGCTGCTGTGAGTTCAATCAGTAGTTTGAATATAGCATTTGGGTTTAGTGCAATATATATTCAACTGAGAAAAGGCTTTTATAATACCAGATTAATACCTTAGTAAGAATTTGATATGGAAATGCATGAAACATGTAGGGGTCTAATCTCACCTGAAGTCAGTAGTAAGGGCTGAACGCCAGCTAAAACCAGGTGCTAAATGTTATGAAATAATGTATGGTTTACATAGCCATTACACAGAGAGAATGAAATCAGTGAGAAAATAACAGCAAGGTAGATAAAAAGTTGTCCTTCAAGGAGTACAAATGTTTTCTTCCTTTTTTCCTCCTGAAAATATATCAAGAGTCACCACTGAACAACTGTAATAACCAGGAAAACCCAATTACAACAGACTATGCAAGTTAGTAAGTTCTGAATCAGACACCTTACTGAAAATAACTTTAAAAGAAATGTTTGAGAATAAAACAGTTAAAAACTCAATTAAACTGCTCTTCATGTTCTGGCAGCCTATACACAGCAGTGCAAAATAAAGCACCATTTTAGGTCATCTACTCTTTTCAGGCCTGAGGAAAATAAAAAGGAACAGAACTCTAAATAAGCCTAGCAATCCAATACGAAGTATGACCACATACTGTGAGTTGCACTTCACAGAAGCCAACACCATTGAAGTACAAAATTATTCTTTGACTTGCAAACCTACATTCCTGTTTGTGAGGCAGGATGAAAGAGACAGGAGGAAAGAGATTCCAAAAGAAAGGAATCCCATGAAGCACATCCCCAGCATCTTGCTGAGCTGCCATCCTCATTAAGATTGTGTGTTCCTGTGTGTAACTAGAGTGCCTGACAAACAACATCCACTCCAGAGTCATGACCTTTTGTAGGCAAAACAGGAGTCAGCTGCTCACAAGGCCATAATTTCATCTGTAGCTTCATTAGACACGCAGCAGAACAATGCTGATTCTGCCATTAATTGCTGTGAACAAAGGTAAGTTATTCAAATGAAAATAAATTGTCCTAAAAGCTTGCCAGGTCCATTTCGGAAAGAATTTGTCTCTCGTTTTAAGCAAGGTTGAGAAGTGCTAAGAAGTAGAAAATACTCAAGTATGCAGTTATAGATGAACTCCAGCTGTACCAGCTCCACAGGCAGCACTTCAAAACTGTTCCTGAAAGCCGGCACAAACATGCAGAGAAGCTCAGCATGTGAGGACTCCACAGCAAGGCAGCCAGTGCCTGCAGAGCCACATGTCAGCACTGCAGAGGTCACGAAATAAGTTACACCTGTGAGTCATCACACAGGAACAAATACAGTTCCCCAAAACCAGTCCCCACTTTGGAAGGTAATTACAGTCCATAAATACAATGGAAGTTTTACTCCTTACTCATCAAGCTGTTGCTTAACATTTTTCAGGATAATCAATACCACCCCTATCACAGGGATTCTGTCTGAATATCAAGTTAACATTAACACACATGCCCCCAGATGAAGAAGCTTCAGAGACCATCTCTGCCCATTTTTTTAGCTCCTTTTCTGAGTGCTTCTCTTCTCCCTAAATTCTGGGAGAGACTCACACAAGCAAAAGAGAAGTGAAGAGCTAGACCTATCGGATTACTCCACCAAATGCACAAACAAAAACGTGCACAAAACAATTCCTTATCCGATGTCATTCCAGTTCGGTTAATACCTCCAACAAAAACGGGTAAAACTTACCACTTCATGGAAAAGTGTACTGTCCTTCCAGTGTGACTGTTCAATCTGGTATTTTCCAAGTGAGACACATTTGCAGCTTACACTAGGGACTTAAAGGCTCATCTGAGCCCAACATGCAGACCTCTTGTTACAAGAGATGATCAACACATTACGTGGCCGCAGAAAAGTCACAGTTTTTATGCCAATCTCAGCCTCAGGCTAACTGGAAAGTGCAGGGCTTTCTTAGCTTTCCTTATGAATAGTTTGTAGCCCTGCAACAGCGATGCTGAATCGGCAGCAAATTCAGCCTCTAAAGGCTAAGCAGAAATGTTTTCTATTCTAGAACAATTTTCTATTGTTCACTTCTACCCGATAGAAACCACGAAAAGGGAGTCAGGCAGTTCAGGCACATGGAAAATGCTGCCCTCAAGAGAGAAGGCAGCTGGTTATGACCAGCAAGCAAGCAGCTACTGAGATGCATTCTCCTGGACTGATCACCCCACTTCCTCTTCAAAGGCTCTGGAGATCAGTGCTTTCAAACTGGGTATTTCCAATTGTATCTATAAATCTCAGTTGAGAACCCCCTATTCCTCTCCCAGCACCGCCCTGCATGCATCCCCCACGGCTGTACAGGAAGGGTGGGAGGGAGCAGTTTGCCCCTCGTTTGGTGAACAATTGACTGAACAATTCAGCTAAGCACAGGAGATGGACCGACAGAGTGATGTTAGCATTTCGGCAGACACTGCTCAGTTATCACATCAAGAGGAAAAGTGTGTTGTTGTTTTTTTTTTTTTTTAATCTAGCCCCTACTTCACCCTCTGAGGGAGATTTGAATTGCAGTGATTTTCCCTTCTACCCCCCAAGGAGGAGAATATAACAGCTCCTACCCAGTTCTGCAAAACTGAGCTGGGATACCCATCAGAAGGGCAGAGAAAGCCGTTCTGGATTTTACCTGGGAATAAATACAGGACAGTTTGTAATTCTTTGTAAATTTTGGGACTAGATTTTCCCTTTATATGATCAATCTTCCAGTGGCCAACATCAGTCAAGGTGTAGTTTATTCCATAAAGTCAGGATGTCCAACTCCCCAGTATGTTTCTCTAGAACAAATCTCATTTTAACAGCTGGGATAAATAGTAACAAAGATATGTGGGACCACAGTGTCTTCTGGTGACATTGCAATAGCCCTGAAAGATCCTTGAGGTACAGCAGTGAGGAGGACTTCTCAGTGCCGAGGGCTTTAAAACCAGCGTGCAACAGGGACTGGAGCATGCCAAGACCCTAGTATAATTCTTCACTGAAATGTGACTTGCCAAAAGTGAGCACCGCAGTACTGCGTGCCCACTGCTTCTCATCTAATGTCCAGCAAACAACTGGTTGTGGATTAAAAAGGAAGAAACTCAAAATGGTTACCCGATTTTTCTCATGAGTCTGAAAACTCAGTCTTGACACTTTCCATGTACCATGGCCAAGGATAAGGACACTGCAGGCTGAATGATTCCCATTGCTGACACCTGGTCCCCCCAGATATCTGTGAACATTCACCACTGGAGTTTGCAGACACTGCTATTGCTACGTGCTGCAGGAAATGTTTCCTAAGAACCACTTAAGATATTGTTTGGTTCCAAACATCCCAGCCTTTAGTCACAAAGCATGAAAAACCCAAAAGGCTTGAATTCCACATTATTGCAAACAATAACATGACAGCAGGTAGACTAAAAAAGCAGTCAAATCTCAGCAAATGTGATACCAATAGCTTCATTTATAAATATTGTCAACTCCTTTAAAAAACAAACATGAAGAAACCTTTGTCCCTTGCATTTTAGTTGTCTAACATGTCACTTGTTTTTCTAGAGCAAAATACATATAAGGAACAGGAGGAAAGTCTTCCAGAGCAGAAAATGGTCATTATGATGACTGATGGAAGTACAGACACAGAATACATCAATTTTAACCAGAAAATTACCTAAATAAAGACACTCAAATTGCAAATTGGTTTCAGTTAAGCTTCCAGAAATAGAAGTAAAACCATGGAAGTGTTGCTTCAACAGCAATTGTCTGAAAAAGTGAAATTCACAAAGAGAAGTCTTCAAAGGCATTCGAGTAAAGAAACCATGAGAGAACTCTAACTTGTTAGAAACCCCTTTGGGTGTTAGCACAGCAAGAGACGATAGGGGAAATTAGATAATTAATTTACTAAAGTAATTTACGTTTGGATTCAACCAGCCACGCTATGCATCAGAAAAGAGGTTACTGGGAAGCAAGGAAGTAA